TAAAACTCTGAAGAAGACTGATAAAGACTCACTGAAGTTAATTTCAGAAAGATTAAGTGATTCTAGTTAATAATTCCTTCTTTCTATGTTTTGTCTGGATTGAGTAAGATAATATGTGAAAGTATGTAATAATCGTAAAATACTTGACTCCGTGTATGACAAATAGGAAGCACTCAGTAAAAGGTAGTTATCAGTACTGCAATTGTTATTTGTACCTGTTTTTTTCTGTGATAGTTCATTCTCACTCTTTGTCCTTGACCAGCTCAAAGGTTTTAAAAATATCAAAGACTGTTCCAATTACACTTACTTAAATTACTTAATTTTCCTGAAGTTAACTTCACCAAATACCATGTGCCTTTCAGAATTTTTATAAGAACAAATAAGATAGTGCATGTAGTTTTTTGCTATTATTGATGTTGTTTTATATTTACCTGACATTATATCACCTGAATTTCTACTGGTTGACAAATTTAAAATACTGAGAAAGACTTTCCTCATTTGCTGAACTTAACTCTCCAGGGTTGAAATAACTTTGTCTATTAACATAGAAGAGCAGTTCTCAAACTCAGTGGTATCAGGACCCCTTTATACTCTTCAAAATAATTAAAGACCCCAAAAAGCTTTTGTTATGTGGATTATACCTATTGATATTTGTTGTATTTGAAATTAAAACTGAGAAATTTTTTAATTATTATATGAGTCATTTCATTTTAAATAACAAGAATGAACCCATTTAAGGTTAACATAAATAACATTTTTATGAAAACCAGATTTCACAATTTTGAAAATCTCTTCAACGTTTAGTTTTATGGAAAGACAGTTGAATTCTCATATCTGTATCTGCATTCAGCTTGTGATGTGTTCTTTGGGTTGAAGTTTATGAAGAAAATGCAGTTTTAAAGACAAATAGTTGGAAAAAGGAAATCTAGCAAACCCTCTAATAGAGTCTCAGTGACCCCCCCCCAGGCTCCTTGAACTACACTTTGAGAACTGCTGACACATACCTTTAGTTTTTTTAAGTACTGAATAAGATAATCCTGCAATATATATCGTTATGAATGCTGCTTCACTTGTTGCTATTATTTATAATTTCCAGATATTGTCAAAAAATCTTGAGTTTCTTCTTGTTTTGTTGACTGCATTCATGGTTTCTTAAAAAAAAAAGAAAAAGAAAATTAATAATGCCATAAACTTGATAAAGGAGCTAAGCTATTTTACTAAACTCTGTATTACAGAATCTTTAACCAAAGTGAGATAATACAGTTTACATCTATAATGTCAGTGATATGCCTGGCTCAGTGCCTGGAACGTTAGACTCAGCAAAAAGGCAGCTTTGGAATCACTCTTACTCAATGTACATAAAATTATACAAATAGGTGCCACAGATAAAATTGGACTCCCATATCCAATAACGGCTTCAGCTCATCTGGAGTCAGGCTTTTGTTATCCTTTAACCCAGGCCTATTTTAGGCCCCAGAGTCCTTAGGAAAGTGAATATACATCTTTTAGCAGAAACAAGCTAATCCTACTGCAGAGCTGGGCTCTGCTCTTCTGCTCAGTGTGTAAGGCCTTCCCCAGAGACAAGACTTCAGGTAGCTCTACAAGATTGTGCAGCATTTCCTCTAGGGAACTGAATCTCCACTCCAGCACTTGTTTCCTGAGTGTAGGTTTGTCTATCTTTATCAGGATTTCCCCAGACCAAGTCTCTACTTCCCACATTGCTGGGGGGGGAAGAGGGGCAGAGGTCGGAAGGGGAGGAATTCCCCCACACCCCGCTCTGGTCTTGCTATAGGATCCTGAGGAACTATGAGTTTTTCTTCCAGCACTTTGGCAGAAAATGGCCTTCTTTCCTACAATTATGTCAAAGTGGTAGTCTTTCTACTCAGAACTCCAAGTCTGCTGCTCTAAAGTAATCACTTCTGAGTTCAGCAGTGGCCAGTAAGTCCTGGAGAACTTTATGATCTGAGATCTAATAGTGATTTCATTGCCTGCTTCAGAAAGGACCTCTATGTCTTCTTTTTCTCTTTTTAACTTTTAAAATAGTATTGAACTTTTGTTATGGAGGCTTTCAAAGATTACAAAAGTAGGTACAATTATATAATAAAGACCCATGTATTTATCATCCAGTTCTAAGATTTATCAATTTATGGACTGTCTTGTTTCATTCATACTTCTATTTACTTCTCCCTCCCATATTATTTTGAAATAAACTCCAGGCATCATAATATTTCATAAATATTTCAGTATGTATATCTAAAAATATAAGAGCTATTTTTTCTACATAACCACAGTATCAACATCTCTCTTAAAAATTAATGAATGCTAATTATTTAATATCATCAAAAAGCCAGTCATTATTCAAAATTTCCCGCTGTGTCGTGAATGTTTTTCAAAGGTGGTTGGCATCGAGATTCCAAGAATGGCCACATATTATAATTGTTTGATAGGTATTTTAAGTCTCTCTTATAAGTTCTCACTTTAATTTTTTTCTCTTGTAAATTGTTTTGAAGAAGCCCTTCCTTCTTTTCTTAATTCCCTATTCACTTCCTTAACTCCAGAAAACTTCCTGCAGCCTAACCCTTCACTAAAACATTTCACTGAAGATAAGCCAACACTGACTTCTTTCAGGCAAGCCTAATCTACACGCTTTCTAAAGATTCCCTTATATTTGTGACTTTTGGAATAAAGATTCTAATGTTACAAGCTGGCAGCCTTCTTACCTGCCTTTTTGTAACTTAAGAAATGTAGGAGTGCCTGGGTGGCTCAGTCGTTAAGCATCTGCCTTCGGCTCAGGTCATGATCCTGGAGTCCCGGGATCGAGCCCCACATCGGGCTCCCTGCTCAGCGGGGAGCCTGCTTCTCCTTCTCCCCTTCTCCCCCTGCGGCTCCCCTGTTTATGTGCTCTCTCACTCTCTCTTCCTCTGTCAAATAAATAAAGTCTTAAAAAAAAAAAAGTGTAACCTGTGGGGTTCTGTTGTACTCTGTACTCCCAAATGCCCGTTGAAATTCCTTCATGCATTTCATCAAACTTGGTGAAAGTTACCTTCTGATACACGTCACTCTTCCCATCCAGAGTTCAAAATCTTTTCCTCTGGATCCCTCACAGCATTACCTGAGGATACCTTTTGCGTGCAGAGTCTCCTGCTTTTCACAGCTTCCCTGACTTTCTTGAATGGCATTCCTCGGCTCAGAACTGTGGGCATGTACTAGTACTCCCAGGGAGCCTTGTCACATTTATTACTGCTTCTCACACTATCACCTGGTCTTTTTCTCTAGAAAAAAGGTCAGTCATTTCAGAAATCCAGTGTCCTGGGAGAAAGGCTTACAGATCACTTTCCAAACATTCTCTCTTCCTCTCTTTCCCAGAGAGGAAATACCAGTCACCACCTTCAGTGGGCTCTAGCAAAGAGTCACTGACCATTGTTCCCTCTTGGTCATCCGGCCAAAACTCTCTCCCTGACGTAGGGTATTGAGGCTGACTGCAAGAAGGGATTTTCAGTTTCAGATTTGTCACAGTTCTCCATGTGTCCCCTAAGGCCAGCCACAATCTCTGAGGGTGCACTGCTCTCTCCACTCACAGCTCATAAGGTGACTATCCGCCAGCCCAGGATTTCTAATAATAATCTCTGATAGAGTCCTAAAAGTGCAATCTGACTTTTCCCAGGCTTCAACTTCCTGGGGACACAAGGGAGAATAAATTAACATTGAAATTTGGACTTTACTTGCAAGTTATCCTATCAATGCCATATCTCTTCAAGATCTCCCAGAGAGATTTCTGCAGATGTCCCGGTTTCTCACTTAGACTGAGGCACAAGATCCTCTTCCACTCCCACTTCCTCATTGCTATTTTCTACCAGTGAGCTTATTTATGAATGGAGGTGCATGCCTCCAAAGTCTACCTCTCAGTATTCTTAAAAAACAAAAAATGTGGGCGCCTGGGTGGCTCAGTCAGTTAAGTGACTGCCTTTGGCTCAGATTATAATCCCAGAGTCCTGGGATCGAGTCCCACATCAGGCTCACGGCTCATTGGGAAATCTGCTTCTCCCTCTGACCCTCTCCCCTCTCATGCTGTTTCTCTCTCTCTCAATCTCTCTCTCTCTCTCAAATAAATAAAAAAATAAATAAATAAAATCTTCCTAAAAACTTTTTAAAATGCTTGAAATTCCACACAGAAATGGGGATACTGCATCTCTCCCAACTCTGTATTTTATTCCATCTCTTGCCCTTGAAATGGTGTCACTTAGGCCCAGCGACTCACAAAAGACTCTTGCTAAAAAGAGAATCCTCTCAAGCTTCAGCATATAGATGATTATTTCTGCTCAGATCTAGTCCCTGCAGCACCGCTGAGGACCCTACTGTCCTCTCCATCTCTAGTAACCAGAGCTCCGGGGCTCTGGCGCCATGGGACACACACATAAAATTTCCTCCTCTTAACCTCTTTCCTCAGGAGAGGAGGGAGTAGAAGGGGACGCTGTCAGCTAAAAATTCATCTCAAACTCAGCCCAGCCAACACTGATAATGGCATGATTTCTCTTACAGGTGGTATACACATCATTTTTATTGCACGTGGAAGATGAATGCTAAAAAAATGAACCAGTGAATTTATGAATGCCATTGAGTGTAACTGTAATGTATTCATTCATTCAACAGTTATTTACTGAGTGCCCCCTGTGATCCACGGCCGTTCCAGGAACCGGAAATGAAACAAAGCACACACACAGTCCACTCTTACACACCAGCAGTAATGGGAATTCCTCCCCTTCTACAGAACTTTGGGGAGAAGGCATTCTTAGCCTGAAAGAAATTGTCATTTTTCTGAGGTCACACTTCTACTCTTTCCTGTGACTATCAGCTTATGCCATGAATAGCTTTCAACAAATGCCACTTCTGAATTTTCTTCAGTAAAATGCAATTGAATGTATGCCACTGCACGAACCTATTCAGTCCTTCATTGCACTGTAACAGTATCCTACCTTTTGTTGTTATTGTTGTCCCTTTAGGTGTGTCCGTTCCCATCCCAGTGATCGGACTGAGAGATGAAGAGAAAGTGTTCGTCAACAACACCACGTGCGTGCTGAATGACCCAAATTTCGTTCTCATTGGGTCCTTCGTCGCTTTCTTCATACCGTTGACGATCATGGTGATAACGTATTGCCTGACGATCCACGTTCTTCGCCGTCAAGCTCTGATGTTACTGCACGGCCACATCGAGGAACCGCCTGGAATAAGCCTGGACTTTCTGAAGTGCTGCAAGAGGAACACGGCCGAGGAAGAGAACTCCGCCAACCCTAACCAAGACACGAACCCACGCCGAAGAAAGAAGAAAGAGCGACGTCCAAGGGGCACCATGCAAGCTATCAACAACGAACGGAAAGCGTCGAAAGTCCTTGGCATTGTTTTCTTTGTGTTTCTGGTTATGTGGTGCCCGTTTTTCATTACCAATATTCTGTCGGTTCTGTGCGGGAAGGCCTGTAACCAAAAGCTCATGGAAAAGCTTCTGAATGTGTTTGTTTGGATTGGCTATGTCTGTTCAGGAATTAATCCTCTGGTGTATACGCTTTTCAACAAGATTTACCGAAGGGCTTTCTCTAACTATTTGCGCTGCAATTATAAGGCAGAAAAGAAGCCTCCCGTGAGACAGATCCCGAGAGTCGCTGCTACTGCTTTATCTGGGAGGGAGCTTAATGTTAACATTTACCGGCACACCAACGAGCCCGTGATTAAGAAAGCTAATGACAACGAGCCCGGTATAGAGATGCAAGTGGAGAATTTGGAGCTACCAGTTAATCCCTCCAACGTGGTTAGTGAAAGGATCAGCAGTGTGTAATTAGGAGTGTGTAAGCAGCACAGTCTTTTCCTATGGTAAAGCTACAAATGTAGGGAAAGGTCCTAGAATTCTTCCGTCGGTTATAACTAATGTAAATATCGTCGTCTGATAAAAAGTGTTTTGTATATAGCTTTGCAACCCTGTACTTTACAATCATGCACACAACAGTGAGATTTAGGGTTCTATATTTACTGTTTATAATAGATTGAGAATAACTTATTTTGATTATTTGATGCATAAAATGTCAATGTTTCTGCTTTCCCTTCCTTCCTCTTTCCTTCCCTCCTTCTCCCTCTTTCTTTTGTTCTCTCTCTCTCTCTCTTTCTTTTGTGCATAAGGAAATGTTGATGTTCATCTCAGGTGGCATTTGCAAGAGACCAGAATGATGCACGTGACAGTGGTTATTTCAACCACATCAAAATTAACGAAATCAGTGGAATCTTTTTCCGGGTTGACGGTAAATATACACTTTAAATTCTTGCTCTGCTCATCTACACACATAAACACAGAAAGATAGGTTCTGCCTTCTGATACCTTGTCACACCCATTAGTGAGTCAAAGGTAGAACTTAGCCTCGTTGTCACATATAGGGGCAAAATTTGACATTGTCAGAATGTCGTGTTGGTATTTTGCTGCAATGTCCGTCCCCAAACATAGTGGTATTTTAACATAGCAGCTGGTTAACCAGGACTACAGAAGTGGAAGGATGATACGAGATATATACACCAATAGCTTTTCACTTCTTAAGGACAATGTTCAAATTCTGATTATAACGACAAGCAAACTGGAATTAGTGTTTTCATTCTGGTCCTTAGTAAATACCTAATTCTGTGATTAAACTGGGGAACAAGATCCCAGAGTTATTTCCCAATCCAGGATTCAACGTCAATTGGGTTTTGATCTCAGGATCCTGGAAATTCGTGTGCTACACACAAAGTGAAATTAGCATTTTGAGCCTTATTAAAATATTTTCGTAATTATGGTACCTCTATCTATAGGACCCAATTTCGCAGTCCATTTTTGAGTAAAACTTGCGCTGGAAGCATAGATGACCAAAACCTTGGAAGTTTCACTTGATTAAGGACTACAGAATTAGGCCCTTAGAATGTGAAAAAAAAAAAAAAGTAATTAAAAACAAGCCTGTACTGAACTCTGGGAAAAACAGAAATACAGAGTTTCCATTTGGATTTTAAACAAAATTTATCTCATTTTCAGATCCTTCCAAACTCTCTAGTGCAGGAAAAAGCTGCAGCTAATTTGTGAAAGTGGCAAGCTCTTCATTGTACAGCAATTACGTGCCAGAAGTTTAAAATCTTTGTTAAAATATAGTGTTGTGTCACAATAAGTGTTGGCCATTGTTTCATTCACGGGCCTGCTGCTTAAGAATTCAGTACCATTTAACTAGTTTGTTAACCGTGAAAGGTTTTCAAGCATTTCTAAAGTCAGACCATGAAGTCTATGCTGTGTGCCGAGTATCCAAGTGTTTCCACTATTTCCATGTGTTTCCATTTCCCACAACTGTGGATCAATTTCCGAAGAATTCATGATGCTATTTCTTATGCCTGACAGTTACTTACACACCTTAGGGTGTGCTTCTCAATATCTCGAAATCGGTGAAGGCAGAATCTGAATTTCACAAAACCCCAGGTCTATGTTCTCAACACACAGCATAGATAAATCCAACAGCCTGCCACAGGGGGCAGTGGAAAGCTGCTGTATTTGAGGAAACTCATACAGTCTCTCTACTTGATTAGCAACACTGCCAAATGTCAGTCAATTGCTTGAGCATGCCCAAATATACCATGAAAGTAAAGTCTACCTGCCTGTTAGCTCTGTTGAATTGCATGCTAAAACAATTATATGAAATTGAATGAGATGATCTCATTCTTACTGAAACGAAGATGTCTGAAGACACACAGCATGCATTGAGCATGAGTCCTGCACATACAGGTAGTGTTCTGCATGTATGCCATGTATGTCACATGAATCCATCGATTTGTGTTAAAGTAAGGCAGAGTAGGTGATATAAAAAGGACTGAAGGAAATCCTCCAGCAGTCCTTAAAACGACTACGCATTCAGATCTGAAGTACTATGAGTATTAGAGAAAATTGGAAACATCTGATTTCTTTTCTTAACTATCAGGGCAAGCTCATAGCACATGTTTTACAAAGAAATAAAATATAAACCACAGATTTTCAAAAGCACTAGCAATAAGTTGAATGTTAATAGCTTATAGCACATTTGTTGATAATTCTTATGTCATCAAGTAGTAGTACTTAATAGTACCCAACACAGTAATTATTCTCAAATCGTGTGCTATTCATATGTTCTGTGCAGTTTGGTATGAAACAAATATACTCATTTGGATATAAATCTTACAGTTCAATGTTAAATCTACAAACTTTTGTAAATGTTTTAAAAAAAAAGTCCATGTGATAAATGTAAACGTGGTGAATTTACTGTCGAACAAATCATTTTGATGTACTATTATATACGTATATCTGTTTAAGACACGTGCAACAGACTGCCTTATATTATTTCCTGTAAATTTTCTCCTTGGCCAAATGGTACTTATTGTGAGTGGTTGCAAAGTGTTGTCTTATTTGTGGTTCCTGTATGTTATCCATTCCAAGTTTTTGTGATACTTCCTATTAATTTATTAAATTTATTAAATGTTGGCTAGTATGTCATGCATCTTTTTTGCCCCTGTGTTGTTTGAAGGGAAAATATACCACTTCACTTTATTTTCTTTGAAAATTAAATCGCATCCTGCAAAATAAGATCAAAAAGACAAACTCAACCAGAAAATATCACTCTTCTGATAAGTTCTGCATGTACTCAAAGACTACAAAACCAGAGGAAAAACAATTAAGAGGTGTAAACAACAAAGCAATATTCGCAACCTCACTCTTTCTTTGTGAGCAGAATTACTGCACTCCTAAATTATCCTACCTTCCTTAACCTAAGGAGGGGCCTCGGATGGTTCATATACCCTCTTTGCAATAGGTATCATTACCATCTTATTTCCACCAGACTCCAAGTTTCCCAAGAACAGAAAAGACCATGTCTATCTTGTTGATGGTTTTATCCCCAAAACTTGGCAGCTACTCTACATTCAACAGATATGTATTGAGCATCATCAATATTTGTGGGCATTGTATTATCTGTTCCTGATGTCAAAATGGGCCTTACAACTCCCTGCTCTTCAGTCATGGAGCACCTTAATTTACCTCTATTCTAAATGGCTTTGGATACTTCTGTGATCAGGGTCACTATACTAAGCCACTCGGTTCCTCCACACCTGAACAAATGACAAAATACATTGGCATTTTCTTTCAACATTTATACTTTCCTGATGATGAGTGAGCCTAGATGATATTGGCATGACTTCAGTTCCCCGAGAAAAAAGCAGGAATACCTCGTTCCTTCAATTATTTGTGGAACATCAGGAACAGCATGGAGGACATTAGGAGAAGGAAGGGAAAAATGAAGGGGGGGGAATCGGAGGGAGAGATGAACCATGAGAGACTATGGACTCTGAGAAACAAACTGAGGGTTCTAGAGGGGAGGGGGGTGGGGGGATGGGTTAGCCCGGTGATGGGTATTAAGGAGGGTACGTACTGCATGGAGTACTGGGTGTTACACGAAAACAATGAAGCATGGATCACCACATCAAAAACTAACAATGTAATGTGTGGTGATTAACATAACATAATAAAATTAAAAAAAAAATACCTCGTTCCTTTGCAACTATGACTAGGTTGATTCCTAGCAGTGCATCAAGAGAGAAAAGTTGAGGGGTGCCTGGGTGGCTCAGTCGTTAAGCATCTGCCTTCGGCTCAGGTCATGATGCCAGGGTCCTGGGATCGAGCCCCGCATCGGGCTCCCTGCTCGGCGGGAAGCCTGCTTCTCCCTCTCCCACTCCCCCTGCTTGTGTCCCCTCTTTCACTGTGTCTCTCTCCATCAAAATAAATAAATAAGAAAATCTTTTAAAAAAAAAGAGAGAGAGAAAAGTTGAACAGTCACTTGAAACAACAGGTCACTGTTGAAATACCTTTTAACACTAAAGCTAGGAGGCTACTCTTCCCCAGGAGCAAGGCAATGGAGAGAGGTTGGAATTTCTGATGGCACAGAACAAAAGGTGGAAGGGAATGTGGGCAGGGGGAGACTGATAGGCCTCATTCCATAGCATTGGAAGGTTTCATGGTCTGAAAAGAGAAAGGTGCTTCTTGTCATCAAGTAGCAGTATGTTTCTACTTACTGCAGAAATACAGTTTCCACACAGTCTCTCAGCTCCCAGTTCGGCCAATGCATTCTCCAAGGTTGAGGCCCATTTCTCCTCGGACATCCTCACTAGACATATGTTACCAAAATATCACCTAGAGAACTGAATATATTAGAAAGAGGTATTTTTTATAGGCAGTGCCAACAGAAGTGGGTGGTGGCATAGTGGTTCTCAAATATTATGTGACCCATAGCACACTTACAAACATACATAGCTCTAAGAGATAGGGTGGGCTCCCCTGGGATGTAAATCCTGAAATGAAGATAAGTGTGCAGGATGCTTACTGGGACGTGATCTTGGGATCCATTTGCACCAGGCAAGGGGAGAAAATAGGATCAGGCAGAGGGAGAAGATGGACTGTGGTGTACTTACAATAAGGACTTACACCCCCTGCACATTTGAAGGGGAAAATAAACCACTTCACCTCATTTTCTTTGCAAGTTAAATTGAATCCTGTAAAATAAGTCCACAAACACAGGGACACTTGTGTGGCTCGGTGGGTTAAGCGTCTGCCTTCAGCTCAGGTCATGATTCCAGGGTTCTGGGATGGAGTCCTGTATCGGGCTCTTTGCTCAGCGGGGAGCCTGCTTCTCCCCCTGCCTGCCACTCCCCTTCTTGTGCTCTCTCTCTCTCTTTCTCTGACAGATAAATAAATAAAATCCTATAAATAAGTAAATAAATAAATAAATCCACAAAGACAAACACAACCAGAAAGTATCACGTTTCCTAACTAATTCTGCATGTACTCAACAACTACAACAGGAGGGGAAAGAAAATTAAGAGGTGCAAACAACAAAAACAATGATCCCACTTAGTTGACTCCCATGCGGAGCTCTGAATCTAAGATACCCCTTCAGAGTTGTCCCAAGTTAAAGCAAGGGGGCCAGACCTCTATACCTCCACTGCCCCCAAGAGACATGCCTTATGCCTGGCCACTCTATTCAACAGAGGCAACTCTTAAGGAAGCCTTATAGTTAAAAGCTATCAGTCCA